TCCTCATAACGTTATATGATTAATTTTTGAATACAAGAGAAAATTATTTAATGTGTTTGGTTTTAGTTTTTTGAATTCAGTTTTTTAGAAAGTGAGTTTTTTATTTTTCTTATTTTTTTTGTTTTTAATGAATATTTTTAAAATTTTAAATATTTTTTTTACTTTTTTAAATGTACCTTACTTAGATATATTTAAATAGTAAAATATTTATAAAAAAATATTTTTTAAAATTAATAAATATACAAAAATATTAAAAAAAATGTACTGATTTGTATTTTTTTTTTATACTTTTGGTATTTTACAAAAATTAGACTTTTTAAAATATATTTATATTAGGTGTGTCTAAAAATTTTAAAAATGCTTAAAATATTAAAAAACTTCAGTGAAAATAAAAAAATATGGAAAAAAAAAAAATTTGGAAAGTGAATTCTAAAACCAAAACGAAGCAGACTCGTTGCTCTGCTCCGCTAATCTCTTGTTAATATGCTATTTACCTTGTCTCAACATGGCCTAGAAACAAGGCAAAAAATATATAAATTGATTCAAAACACAACTGTTTTTAATCATACCTATAAAATCAAAAACACTTTCTAAGCAACAAAGAACAAAAGATGAAACCCTCTAGTTTCCATTCATAAAATAAAATAACAAAGATTTAAGAATATACACAAAGCACTCTGTTCTATCCTACTGTTTGTCATCCCTAAGTGGCAAAAACAAAAGCTCGGAGAAGGTTTATATGTTAGTTTCTTTTTTGGCACATAATTTTTTTTTTTTTACTTTTCTACGACTATTCTTGTAGACAATTTATAATGTAAATGTTTTTTTTCCTATATTAAAAAGTTTTATAATGCTTATGTAAAAGTTTGATTTTTTTCTGTATTTATAATGCTTATGTGCTTATAAGTTTTTTTTTTCTGTATTTGAGAATTATTTTATATATTGAGAAGATTTGAAATAATTTAATTTTTTTAGTTCATTTATTATTTATTATTTGAGTTTACCTTGAGGGCAATTTAAGAAAAATAATAAGATATAATAAGAATAAAATAAAATTTTAAATAATTAAATAGAGTGTATTTCAAAATTAAAAATTCATAATAATTTTTTAAATGTAAATAGAATCCCCGTAATTTGGCTATAATCGTTTTCTGAGAGTTTGACATCAGTAGAGAAGATAGTCCAGACGTTGGATTATCAAAAACATAAAATATGCTGGACTATTCAATTTTACGTATCCGTACTTTCTGACCACGTCGAAAATGATAACTTATCAAGGCAAACCATTGACAAATATCATGCTCCATCTGTTAGAATTGGAGACCCCTACAAATTTAAGGGGAACTTATAAATCAGATATAATTTTTAAAAATTATTACATATTTATGAAAATATTTATAATTTTAATTATTAATATTTATAAAATTTATCATTTATTTGTAATTACTTTTTCACTTGTACATTAACACGCAATTTCCCTAATTTTTTTGAGTATTCACTTTTTGTTTGATTATTTAGTTTTCAAAATTAGATTTTGAGTTTTCAATTAGTATTTTTTTTAAAAAAAATTCAGTGAATTTTTTAATATTTTGGTGAATTTTTTTAAATACATCTAATCTAAATGTACTCAAAAAATAAAATAATTGTGAATAAATTATTTAAAAATCCCATAAATACTACAAAATACAAAATTTTAATACATTTTTATATTTTTTGAATTTATTAAATTTTTTAAAGGTTATTTTTATAAATATTTTATTTTTTGAGTACATGCATCTAAAAAATATTAATAATAAATTGATTAAAATATATATATATATATATATATGAAATGAAAACTCAAAATCTAATTTTGAAACTGGATAACCAAAATGAGTCTATTGATGAGTGGGTTTAAATATGAAATGAATCCGAATTATAAATTAATAGTTTAAAATAAAATTTGAGATAAAAATTTTAAACTCCTAGTATTAATACTGTTGTTGTTGTTGTTATTATTATTATTTGATTAATCTGAAATAACAACAACAAACAGGGTACAAGAAGGTATGTTATTATTATGCCCCCATAAAGGAAAACTCCAAACCAATATAGTACTAGTATTGCATAACCGACCAATTTTGGTTTTTGGGCTAACCATGCAATTAAGAACTTTAAACAATTGCTATTATTATTAACCCTCTTTAAACAAATTGCACTCACCAATAGATGATTAGAGAACAATTTTCAATTGGCCCTAATTAATCAATGGTTAGCACACCTTTGACTGGTTTATAGTTACATGGCATATTGTAATATGGAAAGTTATTAGATACTCTTAGAATGTCACATGTCTATATTATGTACATAATAGTTCGTATAACACTGATTATACATGCTTATACACACATAAATATTTTGTATATATATATAGGATTAATATTTTCTTAAATTCAAAATGTGAACTTTACCACTATGTTTGGACTCGTGGATTCAACACGGGTTTTGTAAGATCATAAAAAAATTAGGTCAATTTAGTAATTGCAATTTTTATTTTATTTTATTGCGTTTGTCTCCAAAAAAATAAATAAAAAGTATTTTTGAAAATAGACTGTTCATTTTTTTAGAGACAAACGCAATAACATAAAAATGTTATAATTATTTGATTGGCCTAATTTTTTTTCATGAATAATTATACATGAGAACCCTATAAAATGAATGATTCAATTATCGAAATAAAATTCATGTTGGTCCCACAGACCCTCACATAATGGTGAAGTTCATATTTTGAACTTGAGAAAATTCCAATTCTATATATATATATATATATAGGAGATTTTATAACCATCAATTACAATATGAAGTGTTCAAACTTACTACTCAATTAAATACATTATGTCGCAACTCAGAATTATAATTCAATGTGATTCTTGTTGTAACTTGTAACTTATCTTTAAACGCCTAAAAAATTGGAATATAATATAATATTTTGATCAATTTGATTAATATTGGCATAAAATTTTTCAAAACCAACATGCCATCTTGGTTCCACCGGTTTTTCATAGAACCATACTTATAGAGAGTGAGGAAGGATGAAAGGGAATAGAGTTAAATATTCATCTTACTCTTCCAAAATGGCTATGCGTGACTTGTTTTTGTAAAAAATCTTAATAGACATTATTCATTGGACCAAATAAAAAAAAAAAAAAAAAATCGGTTAAAATCAAGTGAATTGAAAATACAAAAACTAAGCATATGAAACAAGGAGTGTACCAAAAGAATTTCCTAATAAATATTATGAATTCATTTAGTCTTTTTACTTATAAATTGTTTACTAAATATTTAGTTTGGTTGATTTTTAGGATAAAATTTTGAATTTTGCTTATTTTGAAAAGTGATTTTAATTTAAATAGGTCCCTACGAATCAATTTTTTCATTTTTTTATTACACATTTTTCAATAAAAAGTCAAAAAGTTAACCCAAACATCCATATTTTCAACCTCAATTTTTTAGTCCAAAAAGACAAAAAGTGCACTTATTTAGTCTTCCCAAACTTGGCTTAAAATAACACCGCTACGTAGCTCGAAATATCAAAAGCTCGAATGGCTTGAAATCCCAAAACGACGTCGTTTTAGAGTTTTTTTTTATTCTCTTACTGGTAAGATAATTTTTTCCGTACCATTCGAGCCATTCGAGCTCTACACATTCGAGCTACGGATCATTTTCGAAAACTAAAATGATATAAAGCACAAAGTACAAAGCACAAAGACTAAGGCCTCGTTTGGCAAGTTAACGTTTTAGTCAAAAAATAAAAAAGTTACTAAAAAAGTCAAAAAGCTTATAACCTATATCAAAAAGTCAAAGATTCTCTTTTCTCTCTACTTTTTGCACATCTTTTCGTAAAAAGTGAAAAAATCACCCCAAGCATACTAATTTTTTTTACCTCATATTTTAGCTAAAAAGCCAAAAATTACTAAAATAACATGTTCCCAAACGAGGTCTAAATATATAATTTGCCACATATATGTATACAATAGTCTTCAAAGTATGATCTCCTCTTCGGGGGAGAATATCATATGAAAGACTTGTAACATGTCTTCAAAAATATTAGCCTTTATGTTTGCATGAATAGGCAGAACATGAATCTACATGGTTGTGCATGTGCCATTGCATGCACACTTGAAAACCATGCCCCCAAAAACCTAAACATAAGACAATACAGTAGTGTTTTCATGTTCAAGCTATCATTCTTCACATATTAGAGGGTTTTTCTTCCCATGTGCATTACATTGCCAGTAAATTTTGACATGGACATCCTGAAAACAGCAACTTTATAAAATAGCTTTAAACCTAGATCTCATTCACACCTACCCCTCCACTAACTAATTCCAAAACTAAAACATTTTAATACAAAGTACTGTTCATCAGAGTTTAGTACTGGCGTAGCGGCTCATTTATATACTAATAGCGATTGTTATTATATACATATATAATTTAACCCATCCCTGTTGTTTTCTTTGAATTTTTCACAATAATATATATATGTATGTGTGCGTGTATTGGGTCTTTTTATTTTTTTAATTTTTTTTTGGAATTTAGGCACTGGAAAAAGTTTAACCTAGTTCGTTTTCAGAGACAGCTGAGTCATACACTTTACTCTAAAACAATAATTATTATAAAAATAATACCTAATTAGTACACATTAATGTGTGTTTGGAAAGGAAAATATTGAGTACATACCCAATCTTTGGTATAATGCATAAAGTAGTGGTTCCAAAACTTGAATCGATAATATCAAGATTATTAGGTTAAATTTTAATCATTGGACCAATGGTCACCTCTAAATAATAATGCTTATGTTTTGACAAAATGGCATAAAGATAATATATTGACAAAACAGTGTACAATAATTGAAATGTTACCATTGAAACTACAGTGAAATGCTAATGATACTATTAAAGAAAAAAAAAAAAGAAAATCAAGAAAAAAAAGAAAACAATTTGGAAGAAGATGAAGAAAAAAGAGGAACAGAAAGCAACTTCACGTGGCCCATTGCATGTCAACTCACTTTGGCCCGTGATGTGATTTTCATCTTCCTCCACTCCCCATTTTTCTCCCCCTATTCCTTTTACCTTCTCCACCTTCAAATCTTATGTTTTATTTAGGAATTAGAATCAAACCCATCAATCTTCATCGCTTCATGATCGCTGGATCATCATCATCCTGATGTCCATCGATAGAGGGAAAGAATTAGCCGATGGGTCATCAAGATCCCCCGGTGATCAACCCGCCACACCAAGTCGATACGAGTCCCAAAAGCGAAGGGATTGGAATACTTTTGGTCAGTACTTGAAGAATCAGAGGCCACCGGTTTCGCTATCACAGTGCAGCAGCAACCATGTGCTTGAATTTCTTCGATACCTCGATCAGTTTGGGAAAACTAAGGTTCACATACAAGGTTGTATGTTTTATGGACAGCCAGAGCCTCCTGCTCCTTGTACTTGCCCACTCAGACAAGCTTGGGGAAGCCTTGATGCACTCATCGGACGGCTGAGAGCTGCCTATGAAGAGAATGGTGGCACACCTGAGACTAACCCTTTCGCCAGCGGTGCGATTCGTGTTTATTTAAGGGAAGTGAAGGAGTGTCAAGCTAAGGCAAGAGGGATACCATACAAGAAGAAGAAGAAGACGACCAGTCAAAGCACCGCAGATGATGAATCCAATTCAATGATGAGGTTCTGATTGGTCCATCAGGGAAAGAAAAAAAACGGTAACTTCTTTTAAAACTTTTTTCATTACTTAAGAACAAAACTCGCATGAATTGACACCTCTAATCCATTTATCCAAGAAACAAACTAGCAGTGGCATGAACATGAGCTTCTTTAACTTCATAAGTTTACATAAGAAGTGATGATACATTATTATCTATACATAAACTATAACTATATAGTATGTACTACTACTATATTTCAGTGATTTTATAGATAGTCAATAGTCATTGAAATAGATTTGTAACAAAACCCCAAATGATAACAAGAATAAATGATTATGGGGATGATATTTAGACAATCGAATAATTTTGACCCGATAAAACCCTAGATACAATAATCCAAAATCGTCAAACTGTCCTCTTTCCATTGATACTAAATTTTTACTTATAGTTTGCATCAACATATATATATATTTTTTTTAATGATAAAAAAAAAATCCCCAAATTGCAATTTTTTCTTTTTTTTTTTGGGTAAGACAAATTGCAAAACTTTAATTAACACAATCACTTCAAGATTTGAAAAAATTTGTGGCCGGAACTAGATGTACCCTACAATCCTCAATTCTCAACAGACACATATACAATGGTGACATTATGGTTTTAACACCTTTCACTCGCGAAAATGATAACTCTCTCTCTCTTTCTCTCATTATGCAAACATTGTTTGCAGTGAGATCCTAGACTCCTTAGTTTAATATATGTCAAACTTTTCATTAATTTAAGCATTTTTAGGATTCTGCAAATCTTTTGATCCGATGGATTGTCATCTGAGGTAGCAAACACTTATGTTGTAAAGATCTGATAATTGACCAATAATTAGATAAAACTAAGGTTTCTTTCCAAATGTCTAAACAAATAATAATAATAATAATATATGAGGGAAGGGAGGGTCCATGCAATCTTTTCTGTATACTCATTCAAATCTCCGAGTTGTACGAGAATTCAGAAACCAAATGCTTATTAAAATCTTTTTCTTTTTTTTCCTTTTCTTCATATAATGTAATGTAATGCCCCCACTAAATTGCCCTTTTCTTTTCTTTGCAAATTGTACTTAAGATATTTTTTATCTCCATATGTAAGTGTCCTATGTGCCTTTACTAGATTGCACATTGTCTGTATTAGATTTTGTGGGACATTACATTTATTCCTTTTCTTGACCCTTCTTTAGTTTCCTAGTTAAAAAAAAATAAAAAAATAAAAATTTGTTGTGTGCATTGTCATTGATGATTCAACTATATTTATTAGACATAGAGAAGCTGACCTCTATTCAAAATGTCTGGTTTTTGTCCTTCAAGAACATGCATTCCCCACTTAAAAACTTTATTCCCAATTTACAACCACACATACTTTCTATCACCATTTTTCTCAAACTCCATTCTTTCACATGTCATGTTTAGCTCTCAATTAGATTTTCAAGATAGAATAATAATAGTTCATATAATTGTAGATTTCAAGTTTTAGACACGTGGGTTGAAAAGTTGGAGAGAAATATAGGGTTGAAGTTGAATCTGTTATTGCTATAGTTAGTTACTTTATTATCTATACTTGACATTTTAGTATCTTAATCTTGAATTACGTATGCATTAACAAATCATTGGACACTAGTGACCATTATATGTCCTCTCTCCAACAGCTTAAGCATTTAGATGAATTATTGGTTATACAATTCAATATTCGATCAAAAAATAAATAAAAATTAACCCTCAATGAGTGAGAAATTGATTAAATAAAAATGAAAAAATATACATGTTGAATGTCATACTTGGAAAAGGATGAGAAGACTTGACGACAATTTATGAATATGAGCATTAATACCTAGTTTGCAATTACACCTTACAAGTCCAAAAAATTATACACTTCATTGTTAACATTGTAATTAATAATCGATCAAAAAACATTGTAATTAATAATCGCTAAATGCTTCTTAAGACTGTGTTTGGTTGGGAGATTTAATGAGGGATTTGGAAAGAGAAAAAGTGTGTGAAATTAGGTGAAATGTAGGTATATTTTATTTACTTTTCATTTACATTTTCCCTTTCTATTTCTAAACCCCTCCTCAAATCCCTTAATCAAATACAACTCGAGGGAAATCATGTCATTGTGGTTGGTTGTTTTCTAGTTGAGCATATGCCCTTTCAAAACTTTATTGCTTAAATTTCAATGAAACATGTATTTCATAAGAGATCTTGCAAAAGAGTTTTAGTAATAAAATTATTCAAAACATACATTAGGCTGGAAAAAAAAAATTTATTTTGGAAATCATGTATTGATTGAGTAATGCTATATTGATCACATTTGATGTACCATGTGAGTTGTCACCATTATATTGATTTAATGAGTTTCATCACTTATCTTTGTTTTCAATACAGTGGTTATAACTTACATGATAAATCAAATATGATATAAAAATATGTTCAATTTAGTATTATTGTTACACTAAAAGTTTTAATTAGATGTAGATTAATTTCAAATGAAGAAATGTGAAGGTAAATATTGTATAGTAAAGGTTGCACTTATAGATGAACAAATTACACTTTTACTCCCTAAAGTACTCTTTTTTCTCACCTTGCCCCGCTTTGATCCCTAAGCTCTCTTTTGTTTCCATTTTAGTTCAAATGCTAACTACAATTAGGGCTAATGGGTAATTTGGGTATTTTTTTTAAATATATATTTATATACCCTAATCAAAATCCAATCGATATCCTAACCCAACCCATAATCCTACAGAAACCAAATACCTGTCTCTTCTCACCTATTTGCCCTTTCGGTCTTTGCATCTCATCTTCTTCAATCTCCTTCTACCAATATTGTTTCCCTCTACTTCCTTACCTAACACCCTTTTTCCACCCAACCACCACACTCCACCTCCCACATCCCTCTATTAACTCACATTTCTATCCCCATACCAAACCCTTACCACAACCATCTATCTCATTCATCTACCCTCAACCCTATCTCCTTCCACTACTATATTCCACCAACATCTCCACTCTACAAACATTAGGAATCAAAAGGTCACAGTGACCACAAACAACCAAAAAACAACGACGAAAGGGCATCAAGAAAAGTGATTGAACCATGGACGCTAATGGTATTGATGGAATAATGCAAGCGGAGATCAACAATTTCATCTCCAAGAATAATGACAATAGTTGTGGTTTATTGTTAGGGTTTACAACAATGCCACTATTGCGGTACTGCCACACCCTCAAAATAATATAATAAATACAATCCAAACACATATCAATAACAACATGAATCAGAATAAATAATCATTTCATGACATGAAGTTAATAATACAAAAGAGTTTAACAGAATTAAATGCCTCATTGGCTTACATATTTTCAAGCATTGACTTAGTTACAAAAAAGGAGACTAGCTCATACACATTCAGCCCCAAGCTTTACAAAAATATACAATTCAAATAAAGAAACTCTTACTCCCAAAATGTCCCTCCAAGCTATTGCCTTGGTGGGATTAAGTCACCAACACCTGAAAATGTAATTCTCAAATAGGGTGAGCTACAGCCTAATAGAAATCATCTAGCACAATATATGAAACTTAGCAAAGGTATAAGTATACTATGCATACACAACGTCAGTGATAGAGGCATCCATAGTTGTACAGTCATAAAGTACCAATTTTCATTCATTTCATTACATGGACCAATTTCATTATCTTTTTGACCATCTAAATGAGACTTCAACTCATTAATTCTACAATCACATCAACAATGCATGAACACTTCAAACTTTTCTTTCACGAAAATTTCATCCACGAGCATCCGTCAAACGGGACCCATGTAAACGTAGGCTATACAAACACTACAACTACCATTTTACGGATATTTCGTTCGTGAGCTAGGCACCCATGTATGATTTCGAGACTTTCATCCAAGATACTCCAACCAACTTAATTATAATGGAGTTCATCCCCTTTCTCCTCCCAAACAATCATTCATACATATGAAATGTATTTAAACACAACATCAAGCAATGGAGTATATCCCATTTCCACTCCCACATAATCATACATATATAATGTATATAAACATAGTCATATTCAATGACAAACAACAAGAGATTAGTTTCAATTCAGCTAATCCTCATACAATTTCTACAACAATCATGCATATCCTCCACCGATAACCCAATACAGTTATTTCTAAATAGATATCCAATCTCATAACAGATAATTTATTCAAACTTCCAACGGATGAATCAATACATAACCGATCCCACCATTCTTACCAATACCCTCTTAATATCTATATAAAATAATCATGATAGTCAGGTTAGGGTAAAACCTTCCGATTTCTAATCATCAACCCAAATATCATTTTCAACCATTTTGACCCAACATAATTTCATTTCCACAACCTTCATTTATTTATTTCATGTTCAACAACAATCCCTCTTTCCATATTATACATAAACCGTAGGTTTGCTTACAACACCCTCAAATCACATCATTGTTACACAAGATACAAATAACTAAGCTAAATATCATATTAAAGTGTAGAAAAGATCCCTAACTCAAAGGGAGAAGATGAGTCAAACAAGGGAAAAATTTTAAGAACATCGAAACCCACTTCTATTCGGATCAAAATGTAGATCTTGACGAGCTCTGCCTTTTTCTCAAAGGCACTAGGGTGAAAAGATCAATGGATCTAGATGAAATTTAAGAGAGAATGTGAATTCTGAAGAGAGTGGCTTAAGAACAAGCTTTTTAGAAAGTTTTAGAGAAAGATAGATATGAAAAGGTGATTTAAAATATCATCTTTTCGGACTGTTATACGCGCAGTTCGCTCGAGCGTGAAAAGTCTCATTCGAGCGTCAGACACAAGGTTCCGCTTGAGCGTGAAAGTTGGCGCTCGAGCATAGAATACACATTTCCAGAAGTTCTGTAGACGAGGGTCCCTACTCGAGCGCGGGACTAGAAGCTTGAGCGTCCAAAGCACTTTTCCAATTTTTTCAGAACTACAAAAGAAATGCTGAGAA